AACTGTGACTAAAAAATAAAATTAATCAAATGTAACAAAATTAGTTGTTAATTAAATGTTAAAGAAAACATTCTTCCAATTACAATAAAATAAACACTCTATCCAGAACCTGTTACCAGTGTGTTTTGTGAATAATACAGTTTATCACTAATGTTTTCAAACTGTTAAATAGTTCTTTCTCAGGTGAAATATACCGAATAATCAATGGAACATATCAAAATAGAATGTGAATATTCAAATTAAATCGAACGTATGCTTGGTGAAATTCGTTACGATGAGCAACGCATTTCGTGGGTGGATGGTGGTAAATTAAAGGTTGGCGTCCATAAGGGCCTGCCAGGCAACAGATAAATTTAGCTCCTTTTGGTTGATGCACGTGGCCTTGTGGCTTGTTCTCACCATGAACATCTAAGATGGTTAGAGGCCGTATCCATTTATAGAACAAGCCACACAGCCACCTGCATCAACCAAAAGGAGGAGCTTAATTTATCTGTTGCCTGGCAGGCCCTTATGGATGCCAATCTTTAATTTACCACCATCCACCCATGAAATGCGTTGCTCATCATAACGAATTTCACCAAGCATACATTCGATTTAATTTGAATATTCACATTCTATTTTGATATGTTCTATTGATTATTCGGTATATTTCACCTGAGAAAGAACTATTTAACAGTTTGAAAACATTAGTGATAAACTGTATTATTCACAAAACACACTGGTAATAAGTTTCAGATAGGGTGTTGATGAGTTGTTGATCTTCATGTTTGGCATTATGAAATACAAAGATCTGTAACTAACTGATTTTCTTAAATTTTTTTTTTAATGAATTGCTTTGAACATATTTTAGAAATTTGTTCATGAATTAAGTTAGCATTGTATATGTATTTTTATATTTAATTATATTTTGTTTTTTAAATATGAGAAAATGGTTTAGTTTATATAGTATATAGAATCAGTAGATACATGATTTTGTGCGATGAATTATCCAATTTTTTTTATTCATTAATTTATAAATTATGTAAATATAAGCATTATAAATATTTTCAGACAGATTATAAATTTAATAAAATGCT